TTGTTTCAATACTGTAAATAAACATGATTGATTTTTTCTATATGGTTGCAACTTTTGGTTGTGGGAGGAAATAGGTGCCATTTCTATGCCTTTGATTTTAGTCAGGGTTGAGTAAACTATGTCCATGATTTGCTACCCTGCGTATGTTTGATGTATTATCCTTTATGTAGAAGTCAAAACCAATTTTCTATATATATTTTACACTGCAGAATACCTAAACCTTTTTTTAAACACATCAAATGCAGGTTTGGAAGATGAGAACCAGACCGACTGGCAGATGTGATTACATTATTCTCTACCCAATAAGAGAAATTAAGAAAGTTGTATTAATCAAATAATATTTTGTTTCCATCCCCTCTCTGGTCATGTAGAGTATGCTTCAATGATGGTTTATTGGATTGTGTGTTGAAGCAGCAGTCACTAGCATAATGCTTTAATTTGTATTCTGATTGGAGATAGACATTCACATACTCAAATCAATTTCTCTTAAATAGAATGCCTTATATTTTCTATTTTGTTCTAATCAAAATACTCAAAATTTTTTCTTAAGAAAATCTATCGCCCCCTGGAATTACTGATTCGATTGCCTACTAACACGCGAGTCCTTTATTAGATTACAATAACTAGCTTCTTGTATTAATGGCCTGCTGTGTTCTTTCCATGGAGTATCTCTTTTAGCAACACAAATAATTTATTTCCACGATCAGGAGATGCTTTGAACCGTTATGTTTTTATTTTGTAAATGAGGTTGCACTGGAATTAAAAATATTAGAATATTTAATCACAATTATAAGATAAGTGAAAGATAATATAAATTTTACTTAAATTTCATGTTATGTGGTTGAAATTAAATATTTTAATATTTTTAATATCAAAATATTTTAATTTTTACTTTTTTATTGTAAATAAACATGATTGATTTTTACTTTTCTTTTATAACGTATGGTTACAACTATTTCTACGCCTTTTGAGTCTATTTAGGTTTAAGTAATTTTGGTACCCTGCAGTCCGTATGTGGCCTTATGCTTTATATGGAGTTGCCAGTTGCAACCAGTCTTGCATTCTACACAGCCGGCGACCGAATACCCGACCTCATTTCTTTTGAACATAACGAATGCAGACATGACAGATGAGCACTGGACCGTGTCTTCTTGCTATTCACCGTGCTAAGGGCAGCATATTACTACGACCTACATACTGGTGATTTCAATTCACAATGAACTAGTGGGTCACAGTCCACATTCCTCTAGGGACCATGCTTCATACCTTTTCAAATAATTTTTACATTAATCGGGAACTTGGGAGTGAGTGGAATTTTAGTGACAAAGAACTGCAGCAGTGACAAAGAAGCAGAACTGCAGAAGCACCTCTATCAAAATTTGATGAAAAAGATGATGCAGCAGTAATATTTGATTGGTTTGATTGAATTCACAAAAGCAGCTCCAGCTTGAATGTATTTAATATTAATTTGAATAAAAGGTTTAGTGTTAGATTTCTTTTGAACTGCATCAGTGAGGTTATTAGAGCAGCTTCAATAGGATGTATTATTCCCTTTCATTGGAGGGTTCTTGATTAGGAGACTCTTCATTGTAACTGGGCCTTTTTAAAAAAAAAAGAAAAAAAAAAGAAAAAAAGAAAAAAAAAAGAAACCGGCTCTTCTACGAGAGCCGATCTACAATCTGTTTTTTTAGCCCTTTTTCATTTTGAAATTTAAGGTTAAATGGCCACCGTCAGTGCCCTTACTTTTGTCTTGTTTTTATATATTTTTTAAAAAATATTTTATAAATTAAATTATACATTAAAAATATAATATAAATACTAAAATTACTAAAATATATTTAATAAAATTATTTCTTATATTATTTCATTAATAATAATTTAATAATTTTAATACTTAAATTGTACTTTTAATGAGTAATTTGACTTATAAAACATAAAATTTTTGTGAATTTTTTAATAAAACCATTTTTTATATTTTACATTTTAATGAAGTAATGATATGAATAATATTGTAAGATGTATGAAGTAATTTCTTCCTAATTTAAGTTGAACCCAGCTCATAGAGCTGGATAATGCACCTGTAAACCAAGTGGCATGTAAGACGAGGTGCAAGTTCTTTCTAATTTCTAAGAGGTGAAAGAGATAAATACTAATATATTTCCAACAGCATTAAGTCAGCCTTCCATTGTTCTTAGCTTTTCCTAATTAGTTAGTCTTCCATTTATTCCTACTCTTTCTTTTAAAATAGTGGTCACTTTTTTTTTTTTCAAATTAAAGATTTAAAAAAATTGTGTATATCTATTTTACTTTTAAAAAAAATAAAACATAAAATTTTGTAATAGGATGAATAATTAAAGTAAATGAATAATTGTAGAGTTAAGTAGAAAAAAATATATATTTTTACTTTAAAAAAATAAAAAAATAACAATTAATTTAAGACAAATTCAAAATAAAAGACACCATTATAGATACACTCTAATTCAATATACTCCACGATACAGTCATCAAAAATTAAAAATATTTCTTAATCTAGAATTAAAAGCAAAAAAACTTAAAAATTTAGTCATCCATATAGTATAGAGAAACTAATTGAACTAGTTGTATCTATATTATATTTTAATAAATGAACTAACTGAATGTTGGTAATGTGTCAAATTAGAGGATATTCAAATTATTTTTCAAAATAAAAAAATATAATTATTTTGGGAATAATGAAAGGGGTGATTAAGGAAAAAAAATAAAGAAGGAAGGATAGAAAAAAGGGAATATAACAAATAAATTATTAATATAAAAAGGAAAGTGAGTGCAGAATTATAAATATAATAACAAAAAATGAGGAAATCAGTTAAAAGATGGTCTCACATGAAAAAATAATGAGAGGTGGTGTAATGGTGTAAAGAGAATATGGAAAATAATCTATACACCTTTTAATTTATTATATCTATCATACTTGTTGGTTTAGCCATTAATTAAACCAACTACTGGCAGTTTTAGAGCCTAGTATATATAGGAAAACGTATTTGTTGACCAGGCCTATAAAATTTAAGAAAAAAAAATCTTAAAATTACTAATTTCAATTAATTTTTATCAAAAAATACCAAAATAACCTATTTTTAAATCAATACCCTTGATCCTAATTTTCCCCAGTTAGTCAATCTTGCACTTATTCGTAATTAGTTTTCCATGTATTATTCCTAGTGCTTTCCTTGACTAGTTATCCTCTTTCTTTCGTTCTCAACTAAAATGAGGAAACTTGGAAGACTGCATTACATTATCTTGTTGGTGCTGTCGACACGTTTTACGTTTTCTAGAAAGGCATTTCTACTTGCTCAGTAGTCAATAGAAAATGCAGAGCAGCCACTACTTGACCCCACTGGCCGTATTCCATACAAGGAATAGCCATTCCAAGAAAATGTGGTAGTTTTGCCCTTTAGTTATTTTTTCGGGGGCTGAAGTTACTTTGCATTTCGTTAGGACAAGGGAATCGGCTGGTTATGGAAACTAAGTTATGTGAATCAAAGAAAACAGGCACCTAATTAAATAGAAGTAGTTGTTAGGATTTAGGGTCCGTTTGGTAATTCATTCGAAATTGATTTCCAAAAATTATTTTTCATGTTTTATCGTGTTTAGTTATTATTTAAAAAATAACTCAAAAAAATTTATTTCCCTCAACAAAAAATGCATTTATAGTTTTCTGAAAAATTACTTTCAATCCTGACAACCAAACGGAAAACCACTACCTTCTCCCTAAATTGAAAATAAGAAAAAAATAGAGGAAAGTGCTTGACCTAACAAGCAGGAAAGGTGGGACGTGCTGCTCATTTTCTTTTAAATTTGGGAATGCGATAGGAATAGCCATTACTTCCATCTCCCATAGATTTTTAATTATTCCTACTCATTCCATAATTTAAGAGAAAATGAGCGACATTTCCCAGCTTTCCTTGCTTGTCAGCGTTGTGGATAAATTCTCATCTCTAATCTTTGATACCATTGTTGAAATTTGATTACCATTAAGACTAATTGATGAAAAACATAATCACAAAATTATGTGAGTAGATTAAATAATTAAGAAAAATAATATGAAAGAGAAACACCTAATTTAATGTGAAAAACTCTCCTAAATAAGGAAAGAACTGTAGAGACAGAAAGAAAAATTCACTATTAAAAAAGAGTTACAATATTAAGAACACAATTTCAATTTTTTTTAAGAACTCTTAATCTCTCTTAAAAACTCTCATTTAACCTGTCACAAAAGATTTTTCTTTCATATACATTGAAATTTTCAATAGCCTCTATGATGTAGCGGGAAGCAAACTAAACAAACTTATGCACGTTAGGTTCAAAGGAAGTTCCACAAGAGACTAACTCTTCAAAAATGAAAATCCAACAAATCTCAAAACAAAGGTCTGTCGGTTGTAGCCTTACAGAAGTTTTAAATAATTTAGGGCAATTCTCAAATTAGAAAGGAAAATCTAAACTATAACTTCAAATAAAGAAACAGAAAGGACTTTTAAACTAGAAAGGAATTCTAAACTACTAAATATTCTAAATATAAAAACTAAGCTCGCCTACTGGGGCTTGGCTTCTTGTCCACATCACTCTAAAAAACTCTCATAATCACTTATAATTGGATAGAAAATTTTCATTATCTTGATACCCAAAGAGGGCGGAGATATCATCTCTCATCACCCTATAAAAATGAGTTATAACTACACTACACTCTTGATGTGTTTTTCTCTTTTACCTCTCTTTTTGGGTTTAATTATAAAATTATTATTAATATATATTTATAATAAATTATAAATATTAGAGTTAATTTTTTATTAGAATACAAATTCAAGTCCTAATAGGAGTACTTTCCATATTTGTCACATGATCTTCAGGATTCCTCCCTCCTCAATTAGAATTCCAACATTAACTTGAATTCTAAATTAGGAAACAAAGAAAAAATCACGGAGTGCTCAATTTCCCCCAAGGGATGGCACCTTACCTCATAGTGTCGACACTGTACTGTCTCAAACATGCCCCCCACATGTAGTGTTAGCAACTTGGTCAGAAGTGTCAACACCTTTGTTTGTTTAAGGCAAACGACCCTAGTTACAAGAAATCCGAGATATCCCAACACTCCAACAGTCAGGTCAAGCACTTTACTTTTTCTTTTTCCCTTTCTTTTTTTTCTCTTATTTTCAATCTAGGGAGAAGGTAGTGATTTTCCGAAAAGATAGAAATGCATTTTTTTATTACGAAAATAAATTTTCTTTAACTTATTTTTGAAATGGTATTTAAACATAAAAAAATATAATAAATATTTTCTAAAAATCAATATCTAATGAACCAAACTGACCCTAAATCCTAATCACTACTTCTATGTGGGTGCCCATTTTATTTCATTCAAATAACTTTCCTATAAGGAAGCCACCCATCCTGGGCATGGACAAGTATCTTGAAGGGAAGAGAAATTCTTCAGCTTGGGGCACGATGGAATGTGGGTGACGGAAGGAAAATCCTGATCTATGAAGATGCCTGGGTTCCATCTCTACCACAGTTTAAGGTACTGTCTCCTCCTAGCACTGAATCTCTCTATACTTATGTTTGTGACTTACTTGATGAAAGAGGAAATTGGGATAGTCAAAAATTAAATCACTGCTTCACAA